TCTGCATGAGTAAATCGTAGAATTAATCCAATATAAAAAAGTATAAAGCCAATAAGAGTCATAATTTTAAATAGATCCCTAAAATAACTTTTAAATTTCCCAGATAATGTTATACTGTCCAGACTAAAAAACTATAGCGATAATAAAAGAAAATTGTAAACATGTTTTTGTATAGAATTGCTTTTCTTACATAGTGAATTTCTTCAATTAACATTATTGAAACAAGTATAATTGTTAGAATTTCAGTCCAATGGATACATGGTATTGAAGAAGTTGGTGGTTGAAAGTTAAATAAAAGTACATACGAGAAAAGCAGTAGAAAAAAACAATAAATTAGCTAAAAAGAAATAATATAGATTTTATCTTAAATGATAATATGTATACATACACAATGATAGCAATATTTCATGCGTAAAGCTTGATGAAAATTTTTTATCCGATGCATATAATTATTTATTGGAAGATATTTAGTATATCGAGGAAATGCAATGGGATATGGATCGGAATAATGTATACCATAAGGTTGTAAACTAAATATAATACACTATTTTTATAAATTGAATTTATAGTCAGAAATACATACGATCGTTCAGGGTCTATGTTGTCTTTTATCTAATTAAAATAAAAATAAAATCTTATGAATCAGTAGCTGATGATAATATTTTCTATTCGTTTATATTTCATAGAATTTAAATCAAAAAATATGATCAATATCTATTGAGGTGCGTTTTTGTTGAAAATTGTGTTAATATCATTGATGATAATCGGTGATAAACTTTTGCTCAATATGAATAGATTTTCTTCTTATTCGTGCAAAATTTTGTTGTAAATACTTTCTCAGATTCTTTTTCTCTAATCTGAAATCTTTCGCACACTCATTAACTAAAGAGTGACATTCTGTTGTTCGATATGTGATATGAAATTGATTTGTTCATAGCTTTGTGTTTATGTTCATGAATGAACTATTGTGTCAATGTTAAAATAAATATCTGCCATGAGTACTTATATAAAAACAACATTATTTTCAAATATGTCAATATGTAAAATAGCAAAAGAGACTAGAGACTGTATACATATGATTTCAATTCAGTTACTATATAAACTATTTAGAAGAAAGGTATAATTGTGGAGAATGATTTCTGATTCTAATTCTCATCTCAATAAAAACAAAACTATGTTAATAATGAGATATGTTAATTAGAAATTCCGAATAACTAAAAAAAGATAAATGAAATGGGTTTAATCTACTATAGATCGTCATTTTTAATATTTATGTCTTTCGATAATTATACTTTCAGTCAATTCTTATCAAACATCATCTAATATATTCTAATGTTGTAACTAAAGTTTCATTTTATATCTATCTATTGTTGTAAAAACTAAAATAATAATAAATTCTAACCTTTGGAGGATCTCGATAATTAACAAAAAATGGTGCCAGAAGACCAAGTGAAAAGAGTCCAATAGCCATAGCTATTTCATTTCGTTTATTTGATTGTTTGGGATGAATATTATTATACCACATATTACTCATAGCTTGAACACAACATGGTGTTGCGATAAAAAATTTGTCTTGGGCATCAGCAGCAACCTGAAATATATAAATTTCAAGACAAATCAGTTTTTCTTAAAGGAAAACAAAACTCCTCAATATACCTGAAGACAAGTCACATTTCCATATAGTTCTATTCGTTGTAGAACAATTTCACATGCTAGATCAGTGTCATTTTTTTCACATTGTTTGATACATGAAATAGCATATTCTTCAAAGTATTGTGCATTCTTCTCGTAGTTATCTCTTAAATCACCATATGGAGCTTTCTGAAAATATTGTTTTAATATTTTTGTTGCAATCAATGCAGCACATATTCGATATTTCATGTGACTCAAAAAGACTTGAGCCATTTCAGTATGATTCATGAGTATTGCCCATATAAATAAATCTCGCATAATAATATCAAAAACTCTTTCTTTACTTGGTTTTTCTTGTTGTTCAGGATTTTGAGCATTCATTTGATTTTGTTCCTTATTCTGTTCTATTAAACCCCATAATTGTCGATATTTGATCTCATCATCATTTGAATTAAAGTATAATTTATGCATATAATCACCAACCAATATAGCAAGAACATCATTTAGCTCATCAGTTGTACAAATATGTTTTCCAACAACATCATCTGATTCAATAAATGCACTTAATTGAGTTGCATCACTAGTCTATAAATATATAACGCATTAATATCTTTTTTAATTTGTAAATATACATTACCACAGCTTTATTGCTGTACAAACGTTGAAAAAATTTTTTATATCGATTTTTTGACATAGAGAATGCATCATTTTCAAAGAATATTTTACTTGGATCAATACCCAATTTAAGAAATTCATAAACAAATGCTGGTAAATCTCCTGTTAAAGCATTGAAAAAAGCTTCTTCTTTGTTCTAAATAAAAGAAAGAAGAACATGGATACAATATTAGTCAAACACAAGAAAAATTAATCATCGTTTGAATGTGCTGCATTTTTGTTTAACTTAACTGAGTATAACAGAAAATCTGCTGTGACACCGTTGATATTTTTGGATAGTGTCAGAAGCTGATTGAAAATCTCGAATAGTTCTAGGAAATACGAGACAATCTTATAGATTTCAAATGAATACCAGACACTTCTCGAAAATCATAGAGAATCTCTGGAATTCATGATTACGCGCTTTTTCCTTTGTTTTAAACTAAATCACATAAAGTAAAGACCAATATTTTCATAAAGTCATGTCACTGTCGTCTGTTTACCTAGAATATTCAGAGCAATTTAATACTTATACGACATAGAAGAATTAATTCTAGAAATATTTTAACATCTTAATATATGCATGTTTCAATTCTGATAAGTTCTGCTACTAACAAATGATTTTATCTATCTATCCTTTGAAAATCAATCACTCTTACCAGAATATTATCTAATGAATTTTGAAGAATTAACTCTTTTGCAACATCAATACAATTCCAATCCATTGCCAACTGTAATAATTGTGATCGTTGTGCATTTTGATCTCTTCTATTAACATGCTGTCGTGAATCTGTATGATGTTGTTTAACATGTATAGTTGGTTGTGGTTTATATTTTCGTTGACGTATTTCTATTGCATCATTTTCATCACTTTCTTTTCTTTCAAAATATTTTTGACGTGCTGAAACAAATCAAATTAACAAAAAGAAAATCTTATATTATATAGTTAACTTACATTTGCACACAGTACGAAAAATAGTTTCAGATAAATTATCATCTGAATTCAAATTAAATACAGCTATACCAGAACGAACAGCAGGCTGAAGACAATACATAACTTGTCGAAGTATTGCATCGAATTTATTTGATTTTGCGTCCTTTGAATTATTGTTTGATGTCTGACTCGTCTTCTTTCGTTTACTAGAATCATCATCATGTGATATAAGAAGATCAAGATCTTTTCTAAGTCGTTCATCATATTTTTCAAATATTCCTTTAAGCCTTTAAACAAAAATCATACAAAATAATTCTAGATAATGAAATAAACATTTATTTATTTATTTATTTACGTATTGCGAGATGCATCAAGTTGAACTTCAAAATATGTATGAGTACTAAAATGATTACATAAGTAAAATACAAAAACAACCAATTTAGTATTAAATTTTTACCCTGTTTTTGAACTATTTGTATCATCAGTTGTTGGTGAAAAAGCTGTAACTGGAGTTGCTTTATCAATCTCACCAATTTCATATGGATATTGAGGATATTTACTAGCTTCATCGAATTCTTTTGTATATAATAACCAACGTTTGAAAAAGTCAGCGACACGGCCACTGCCCTATTTAGATTATATTACAATTATACAATAGACTTTTGTTTGTTTTACTTACATCAATAATAACAACAGGGATATTGTCACGTAAATCATAATATATATTTGTTATAGTATCTTTGCCACCTTCAACCACAATAGTAACAACAGGAACTATAAATAGAGACAAAATGATGAAAAACTGAATATTAGTATTAAACAATGTCAACTATTGCTAACGAATTATTTTCGTTAGTACAACAATCATTATAATGTAAATAATTATCTATTTCTAGACTTGTCTATATAAA